ACTCATGCTGCAGTTTTTCAGCAGTGGAACCCGGACTGTTTGGAGATGTACTTGATGAAATTATAACATGATTGCACCATTTTTGAGCATGTTTCAAAAATGTAAATGTCAAATACTTTACAAGTCATCTCTTTTGTTATGCTAGAGTTGGGTACCTCAGCTGGTTCTTGGAATCCTTGAAGCATAGAGTTTGAAATCTTTTATTTTGTATCATTGTACTTAAATAGCTTCACTAGAGGCATTTCCTTCCTCTGGCATGGAACTCTATTAGAAGATTTTAATGTTTTGAAATGCTTACAATTATGTTTGTAAAACTGTTAAACAATAGGGTAGCTTAAAAAAGCACTGATGACATAGTAGCAAATAGCTTGTGCTCTGTTGGGCCAGTCTTTCATCCTCAAAAGCACTGTCATTTTGTTGACAGAAGAAAGTGGTGTCACACTATTGCTTAGGTATTGCTGTTGGAGGGAAATGCATTCTTCTTCAGGTACATGCAACATTTCTTCGGTCCCAGTTGGGGAAAAAACCCTGTCAGACTTGGAATATATTTAACCTTCAGGCCATTGAGTTTCTTTTAAAGTGGGGAGTTCTTATGCAAAATAAATCAAAATGAAAACTGACAGAACAGATCTTGTCTCTGCTTGTTAGCACAGAACAGCAAATTGTGGCCTATGGTATCCAGCCGCTGAAGCGTGGCACGCAGCGTGGGCAAGGAAATGGTTCTGCATCATGGGCCACTTTGGGAAACATGTCGGGAGGCGAACAGCTTCATGCTCTGTTCTGCAGTGGTCCTGTCTCACCTTGAACATTGTGTCCAGTTTAAAAAGGATTCAGATAAACTGGAGTGTGTTCAGCAAAGAGAAATGAGGATGATCAGAGGACTAGAAACCAAATACAAGGGACATATTAAAGGACTGGTGTACGTTTAGCCTGGAGAAGACTGAGATAAGAGAGCACTGTTAAGTCCCTCAAGGGTTACCGGCAAAAGGGGGCTGCAAGCTGAGTCCCGTCATCCAGGGCCGAGGGACTCAGAACCGTGGGCTTGACTTACAGGGATTTAAACTGAACATCAAGGAAGAAGAAAAATCTTCAGGGCCATTCAGAGCTGTCAGAATAGAACTGGACGTGTAGGCAAGTGGTGGGCCCTGTGTGGCTTGAGGTAGGCATGCAGGGACCAGGCTGCCACCTGGCACAAAGGCTTCGCATGGACTTCCAGCACAGGGCAGGCAGGAGGTTCTCTGTCTACATTACTCCTTCCAGTCTTCTCACTCTCTGATCGTTCGAATCGGCACATTTTGTTAATAGGGTGTAACATGGCATCTATGTGGCAGGCACCAGGCCATCGGTAACTGGGTTTGAGTCAGCTAGCTGCCAAAGAGCGGGAAGCCCTAGTCGCAGCCTGCTTTCCAAAGACAAGATCAATTCACAGTGTAGTTTTTAAGGATAATATATGGGCATGGAAAATACGATACTGAAAGTAGCATAAATTTAATGATGTGGTATATTCAAGCCTATCCCCAGAGGCATGTGAATAGGAGAGAAAGCAAAACAACACACAGAAACCCAACCATGGAGATTCAAGGATTTCTGTGAAGCTGCGGGCTGCACAAATACCTCGGCATATGTTTTGTGGGCCTTACATTGCTTGGTGCTGGCACGTACTGTTCCTAATGTAACATTTTTAGCAACCTTAGACATGGCCTACAATGAGCAAAAGCTGTTTTTTAAAAACTGAGTGTTACACACGGCACAGAAAAATATATATACCAAAAAAAGCATTTTGAAATCATTTTGACCATTATACCTGGACTCAAATTCACATTTAGAAAGACATTTAATTTAATTGGTAATTAAACGCTGAAAATTGCATTGGTTTATGGTTTTTATTGCTGTTTCTCTGTAGGAAAAATGGTCAAGTGAATCAGAAATTGAAAGATGTTGGCAATTGTATGTAACCACCCCCATGAAATTCCAATGAAATTTGTCTGTATTACTTTTAAGACTCATAGAGAGGTTTGAAGTATTCTAACTTTTCATTTGAGGAAAATGTGCTTGGGTTGGATCCAGAACCTGCTACTGCAAGAAGAGACCTTTGGTGACGTGTGTCTGATTCAGGGGGCTCCCCCTGCGTCTCATCCCTCCCTGCAGCTCACGAGATTCTGCAGGGCCTGATGCCAGGAATGCTGAGGGAAGGAGGGCTTGGTTGGTGTTTTGCCGGTGTTATGAGTGAAGCAAAACGGGCTCGTGCACACAGTGGGGAGCAAATACCCCCAAGCGTATGGCGCGCACCTTGGGAGTGAGTAACTGAGACTGCTAGCCGCATACGGTGTTGTGAATGAAGTTAAACTTTTTGAGTTGCGGAATAGAAAGTCAATTATATTTTGCACCCGTTCTTCAAAATTGGCATAGTGGCATCTTCTGATGGGCCTAGTGTCTTGCTCAGTAGTGTCTGGAATGTGAAAGCTTTAGCTGAACAAATCTTTAGGAGCAGTTAGAACAGTGGCAATTGTCGCAGACTTAATTGTCTAGACATTTCAGAATTAAACAGATCAGTGCAATCGATGTTTTTCAGTATTGACACATTTTGACATCTGCTAGAGGTTTACATTTGGTTAGCAGGAAATGCAGCATTAGGAGCTTTTTCTTTGAACTGGGGACCTTGTGAATTTTATTCTTAAAGAAATTCTTAACTAAATCACATATTGTCACAACTGAGATATAAAAGACGGCTGTGTTGCAATGTTGAACTTGTGGGACCTGGAAACCAGGGTTAAAATTCTTGCCCAGTCATGAAGTTCACTGGGTTGCTTTAGGTGCCACCTCTGTCTAACTTGCTTCACAGGATTATTGCGAGGATAATATGAGATAACCCTTTGAACTTTTTAGAGGAAGGGCTGGATATAAGTAAGACTGTCAAGGATGAAGGACATTCCTTCCTCCCCGTTTTTTCAAAGTTTGCAACCTTGTGCAGTCTTGTCCATCAAAATAGACCCAATGCAATGTATCCTCTTACCTTCTTTGTTTCTTCTCTGTATTGAATACAGTCTCCTTTCTGTTTAGAATTGCAAGAGATTTGTGTAGCAGCTAACAGAAATAGAAGTGTAACACTAGAAAGGCATTTTGCTTTGTCCTCCTTATTTCATATTCTCCCAAAAACTAATCAGCTCTTTTTTGCTCTTCATTTCAGCACTCTCTGTTCATCTGTTCTTCACTTGACCCACTGCCCTGAAAGTTCACTTCGCTCCTGTCCCTTGAACGCAACTCTCCTTTCCCTGTTAGTCCCCTCTAGATTGCGTTTATACATGGCTTCTTCGGCTGGACACTCCTACTACTATATTACTTGCAGCGGCTGCTAGTTGGGAGTTTCTTTTCTAGCTAATTGTAGCTAATACGGAACAGTGGCAGTTCCTAGGAATGAGTGCTCCATGGGAGCCATTTCCAATTTCCTGGCTTGTTTCAGGACATCCATGCATGAGACAACTCAAAATAGTCGATTTGTGGCTAGGTTTATTTTGGGCTGCTTAATCCATAACTCTAGAGTATCTGGGCTGAAATATTATGTAAATTGGTAAGCTATTCAGGTTATGAGGGAGGACCTGGGAGTGGAAGTGGTACTCTATGTACGTGTGCTCATCCCTGGGAATACCTGTGTTAAACACAGCAGTTGCCTCCATTTCTGTGAATTGGATCAGCCTTGCTCCATGTAAAGCATGTGGACATCTTTGCAGGTCATTGTATTCAGGTAAAACAGCCTTGAGAGCCTCTGTCCTTTGCAGCATACAGCGGCTTGTCTGCTGTTTAGGAATGCCACGTTAACAAAGCAATAGGTGCCTCAGCGCTCTGCTTCCGCAAGAGAAAGGGAAGGAAGCAGGATTGTAAGGGAGGCTGATAATTTCCCAGTAAAGATGCTTCAACTCAGGATTCAGTAAGCAGCTCATAGTGGTTTATTTGAAACATTAAGCAAAACGTATACATTTCATTAGCTGCTTCAGCTTGTAGAGTCCATTTCTGGCTTGATTTTAGCAATTATGGGGGTTTAGTAAGCTGGGATACTACTAGTAAGGGTGCTCACCATCTGCTCCAACATTTTTCATCTTGACAGAGGTTCTCTCCAAATGGAATGTTCTGTACTTGGCTTGACCTCCCGTTGTCTCGATTGCTTTGTTACGCATTGTAGCACATTGGTTGCCTTTCCTGCTACAGCAGCTTTTATTGTTATTTCTGCATTTGTGAAGTAGTTTGGATGGCATTGAAATAGCAAGGCACTGGCCTGCTCCACACGTGAATAGATCCCAGAGTCTGGATTGTCATTTTTTGTAAACCACGGACTGTGTGGTTTAACTATGGGTTGTCAACCATGAACAATTCAGGAAGAGAAACCATGTTTTGTTGTTGCATTGTAAACTCTGGGGTGTACATGGTTAACTCACAGTTCAGTCAAAGTGTAGGGTTCATATGTAACAACAACTCATGATTCAACCCATACTTTGGGCTATTTTTATTTGTGAAACAGGTCATTGCTTTAATAGAATTTTTTCCTATGTATAGATTTACGCAATCATTTAAAAAACATATCTTGGCTCAAAAAGATCAGCAACAGATGCCCTTCTCCGGGAACCCTCTGTGAAAGATATTAGGAGGGTGAGTACCCGGAGGAGGGCTTTCTCTGCAGTGGCGCCCCACTTATGGAATGCACTCCCTAGAGAGGTCCACCTGGTGCCGTCGTTATGTTTTTTGGTGCCAGGCCAAGACCTTTTTATTTAAACAATATTTTAATAACTGTTAATATTATTTATTGGTTTTAATTTTTACAGCCAGGGTGAATCCGGATTTTAATATGTATTGTTTATATCCTTGTTTGTTTATTATGTTGGAAGCCGTCCCGAGGCTCATGCAAATGGGATGGCATACAAACAAACAAACAAAAAGTGAGTCTAAGGTAATGTGTTGTTTTAAAACCTTAAAATAGTTTCACAAATTGTTTACAAACAACAACAAAACCAGAAATTAATTCTACTCTGTTTTTAAAGATACCTAAAATTTTAGAAGTTTTAACTCCTATGCCAGCTGGTTGTTTTAAGGTCTGAGGCTGGATTAACGAGAAGAATAGTAGCATATATATGAAACTGCTCTTGTGTAAAGAGCTTTACATTGGGGTGGGTAGAAGGTAGATCTCTGTTTTGGACTTTCAGCTCCCAGAAGCCCCTGCCTGTGTGGCCCATGGTCAGGAATGCTGGGAGTTGAAGGCCGAAACAGCTGGAGACTTACTTTCTGCCTTATATTCGTTCTCGCAGTGATGCTCTGATGCCAGTTATCATTGTCAGATGCACGCCTGAGACTGATTTCCCTAAGGTCATTCATCAGTGAGTGCTTGAACGCATGCCTCCGGAGCCCTTGCCTAGCACTCATTCATATTATTAGTGGTATTTATTGTGTCCAGTACTCTTCCTCGAAAGATTATTAAATATGCTTCCCCGACCGTCTCCTCTCCAAAGGTCTTTCACGCTCTGACCTGCCTCACTTTAGCAGCACAACTATATCGTGCACAACTGGACTGCTCTTTTGTTGTCATTACACAGCATTGCATGCTTCTGACTTCTTGTCCTAGGGGTGGTGGTATCTGTAGCTTCTGAATGGTGAATGTGTGCCTTCTCCTTTTATAGGTTAGCCTTGGCTGCTTTGACTCGAGAACAGCTGGCTTCTCTACAGTTATGAGTCAGAACTCGCTTGTTCTAGAATGCTAATAGCGTATAGCAGATAGTCTTGTGGTAGTTTTAGCTGATAAAAAGCAGTGCACAATGCATGCATTTTGAAAGGGAGGAAGTATTTTTATTGGAAAGAATAGTTCCTGCAGGTGTTTACAAAATTTCTAGCATGGGATAGTTATAAGATAATCTGAGAATGATATTCATTAACATTTACCTGTAATTATAGAATATCATTCCATTTGTTTTCAAACCTGGGCAAAAAATAAAGATCCGAAACTTTAAAGTGGTATTTTTTTTCTCTGAGGGAAAAATTCTTGTGCTGCCGTCTTCATTCCTGCATAGCATCTTTCAGTCTTGGACGTTCTTCTGTTTTTGAAAGTAAAAAGGAGGGTTAGTAAATTATATAATATTGTGAATCCCAGATTATCTCAATCAGGAAGTTTCTATTTAATGGTTGGTACAGTTTGAGAGGCAAACTCTCCCCTGCCCACATGCCAGGGGAGCAAATGTCTTTCCTCTTTTCTTTTATTTTGGCTTTCTGACAGGATTTTGTTAAACTGTATTTGAATCATTTTCTTTGCCTTGTGAGTAGCCAGACCATCTGAGAGTACAATGCGTCTTTGGTAGGGGGAGGGGGCAGAAGTCCTGAGCATGAACTGACGGACATTTTTGGATGGGCTTAGTGGGCATGGCTCTGGCCAGAAACAGTTGTGTATGAGATACACATTTATGACATTTCCCCTTCAAATCCTTTTATGTTCTAATTGGTCCTAATAATGGACTATTGAAATAGTCCATTATTGAAATTGAAATAGTCCATTATTAGTGAAAACATTAGTGAAAACACTAAGAGAACAGAATTCAAAAGATGGCCTTGTCAGGTATAATAGTAATAGGCTTCTTCACCTTAGATTGTGTCTCTTAATATTTATGCAACCTAATTTTTGTCTTTCAGAATATAGAGCATCTTCGGGAACACCCCTTTGTTGGATTTTATCCATGTCCTGTTAACCGGTACTTTCAGCTATGGAATCGGTAAATACTGCCTCTTTTCCTTATTTTTTGTTTTCAGTAGAAAAACGTTTAAAAAATACAAAAAAAATATGACTATGAATTTTGAGAGTGCTTTTCATTTACTTTTGTTAAATGTAAACATTTTAATAGGTTTTGGTGAAGTAGCTTACTTGGAGTTGTTTTTGTAGTATAAGAGTCTTCAGCTTATTCTTATTCTAAATTCTAATAGAGCAGGATGATTTTGTCTTCAAGGCTTTGCCCCTGTCAAGTACTATTCAGTTGGAATGTAATGAATATCAGCTTCTGCAAATGAAGCTTTTGGGTGACGTTGCGGGTTCATCTCCTGCTATATAGGAGCACCCCACTACTGTCAGGAGAGAACTTTCCTGTGTTTGGGTGGCGTCTGCTTGCAGTTCCTGCCTGTCTTGGGTGGTCAGTCAAGTGCTTAATTGCAAGGCAGTTTTTATGGTGGGTTGTAAGTCCTTTGCTGGTGATTCAGCAGTGTCTTTGCAGAGCAGCAGGTCACAAAGCAGGTTCAGCCAAGCATCTAAAACCAAAGGATTTTGCTCAGATGTTAACTTGCCTGTGTGTGCTTTGGTGAGGTGGTAATATGTAAATATAGACAGTAAAAGTCTGTGTTGGGTGTTTTTTTGGTGCAGAACCTCTGGGGTACTGCCACCTTTCAAGGAAACAGTTGGAAGGCAAAATACGTTTAGAAGTCACATTTGCAGAACAACTTCAACATTGTGTTCTAAATAAGTCTTTTATAGCACAATGGTGATCTGACACCATGTGTGGCCTTTCCCATGTGCTGTACTACTGGTCTGAATCAGATACATTCTTCCCTTTCATTCAGGTTGATCCTCTTAATGTTTGTACATTAACAACCCTCTCAGTGCTGAATGAGACAGAGCCGTGAGAGGCAGACTGAGTTTCTTGTTAATGAAAGGGTTATTTTTCCTTCCTATTGCTGGAGGAAGGAGCAAGTTGAGTTTCACATCCTTCATGAGCAGCTCAGCCAGGTCCCTTGCCACAGACTATTACAGTTCTGGGGATCTGTGTGTGCAGTTTCAGTTCTAGGATGTAACACTATCAGTGTAAAGGAGAACAGGGAAGCAGTTTTAATACAACTGCCCCGTGTCTGCTCTTTGTTCTTTACGTACAGTCGGGAAAGCGTGAACATGTTAGCAGCTTGGCTAACGCAAGGGTTGTCTCTTTCCTGAGAAGTTTCATAATGGCTTGGCTTAGATGATACGACAACCCACAACAGCTTAATTTGCCTCCTCGTGTTCTGCTGGGAGCCTGCGTCATGCGGATCCAGCCTGCATGGCTTGTTTGAGGCCGAGGCGACCCTCAAGTAACTAATGACTTGCTTTAGGTTTATTCGAGGGTTGTTGAGCGTTCAAATGCCTGCTGCCTGGGTTTATGTACTGCACCAAGCCAGGTGCCCAGCATGATGCGGCAGTCCCCACAGGTAAATTACACCATGGCAGGCTGTGGTGTCATGCGAGTCAGGTCACTGAAGAATGTTTTCTTTCAAGGTCTCTTGGAGGAGCAGCTTTTACAGAAAAACAGGACTGAATGTCACCTGGGGTGAACACAAGTAGGATTCAGCCATCAAGGATAAATCCTTGAACTTGTTGATTAAGCTTCGGATTTGGCTTCTGAGATCCTAAGAACTCCACCTGTTTGAAGCATGCCGTTTTATTTGTAGCATGTCTGTAAGAGTGTGCTAAGGAGTACCCGCTGCGGGGTTTTGTCCAGAAGCCTGCCATTTGTCTCAGCAGTGTCACTGAGATGCATCTGCTGATGTGATACTGTGTCAGCTAAAACAAAGGAAGTGGTTATGTCTGGGAGAAAAAACACTATTTTGTTTAGCTTGAGCATCGGTCGTAAGTGAAGCATAATGCTAGCCAGGTATTAGCAATGGGGACTTCTTAGTCGTTTTGTAATTTGCTTGCTGCAGCACACCTCCTGGGCAGGGCCGCACTCGGAGGTCATTTCCTGGAGAGGAAGGAGGTGGCAGGGCTGGTGGCCCAGGAGTTTACAACGGCGTCCGACACCTTCATTCTGGAGGGCCAGGGTGGTCTCTTTTGGGCAGCCTCTGGTGAAGAGCTGTTGCTTTTTGTTTCTCTTGGTTGGATCATTGGGTTTCATAATAAAAATGTTTGATTTGCCTCATCTTAGGTTTTGCATACCGATTTTACAAGCATTAATTATTGTACCAAAACTTGTGGCATATAGCAGATGATAGACATTTAGCTGGGGAGACTTCTTACAATGTCTAGATAATTCATTCTGTGTTCTTAAAAAGGAAAAAAGGTGGAATACAAATCAAATAAATAAATAAAATAATGTTGAAGCTTCTGTTATCTATTATCTATGGGTTTGTGCCAGTCACAGATTTCAGAACAAGAAGGGTATCGCCTTCCTCTGTCCAAGGACTTGAGTTGATCAAAAATAAATGTTTCATGCAATGTGGATGTGTCTGTTCGCACGTTCTTACTCACCTGCTGCCTCAACATATATAAGATTCCTTTGAGTAATTTCCACTTGTCCATGACTAATGAATCTGCAATAGCTCAGTGTGAATCTACATGATGAGTTATATTTGCTGTGTGCCTTTCATTTCATTTTCAGTATGGGTGATATTTTGACATCCTTGGTATAGAACTATTCTGAATTTTTGAACAAGGTTATTGAAAAACCTAACTCTTTAGAAAGAATCCTTTAATTGCACGGTAGTTTCCCCAGAAGGGTCTCAGTTCACAGGGGCCCAGAGGGTTGCATGCTGTTGCAGAGCTCAAAGCCGTGTCTGTGCAATTCTATCAAGTGCGTCCACGTACTCTCCCCTGTGGCACAGGGCCTGAGTGGATATGTGAGGCATGAGCACACTTAAAAACCGGGGACTGGAGTGGTGCTTTCGGGTCTTCTGTGAAGATGACCCTTTTCAATGTGCATCCCAGTACTAAATGCCCAAGCTGCAGCTGTGTGGAAATTCAGTATTTTACTGATGAATGTCGGAGCGCAATAAACATATCTTGATAATTATACATGTTTTCATATTGTCATGGAGAGCTTATGGATGCTTTGCCGTCCTTGTGTGTTGCTAGCGTCCTGTTGTGCCCCTGTGTTGATATGAGTGATTGCTTAGGCAGTGGGCTTTTGAGCTAAAAATAACCTGAAATGAACAGAAATGCTCATTTCTGGAAGGGGACAGATCAGCCGAGTTTGCAGAAGAGAACTCGGCTGCCCTGCCCCGATCTGCTCCCACTTGCCTGTGGGGCATTTGTAGAAGCACGTGTGGTTGCACGCACGGGCACAACGCCAGCAGCTGAGTCTGGAGCGGCCTGCTAGATACGGCTGCCTGTTGAAATGAATCCACGATCCTTAAATTTTCACCTTCTTCCTGGCCAAGCTGTTGGAGACTCTCTCTCCCATAATATGAAGGTAGCGTCCTAAAGAATATTGTGATTGCTGTAGAGTCTGACTAATATTATTCTGGTTTTATGGTTCGTGGTGACAGCCATGTTGTTCTGTGCAACGTTAGTATCAGTTGTATGCAGGCTTCCACTTAGCATTGTCTGTTGAGAGAAAAAAAAAATGAAAATAACGTTTAAAAAGAAACACAGCCAAGTTGGGGGATTTCTGAAGTACTGTAAGATACGACACCAACTAGCAACCTGTTCTCATGCTTGTGGAAAGGCATTTGGCTGTACCTGGCTAGGAGGCTCCTGGCCTTGAAGGAAGAGGTTTGTTTTGTTTTGTTTCGTTTTTTGCACTATCATTCTAGAGCTGATATCCTAGGACTTCCTAGGTCGTACAGAATTCTAGTGTAAGCCGACAGCTGGTATAATTCTCGCTGCTCACAATTTCCACTGGGGAAGCTGGCAGGTCAACGCTTTCTCTGAGGAGGCAGGAGATTGAGATGGTGGTTTTGGCAGTAGTATTTCACGGAGTTCATAATGAACATGTAGGTGTAAGATTAAAAGGAGGAATATTGTGATGCCGCTCAACAGAACTGTTTTTCCAGGTTTGGGTCTTGCCTTTTTCTGACCTCCCAAGAAGAATACAATTGCAAAGCTGAGGCCAGTAGTGGAAAGCGAATTTCAGCAGATGCTTCAAGAATTAAATTGTTTTCTGAAAAGCCTCATGCTACAAGGCAGATCGAGTTGCTTAGACAAGATGAGGCCACCCCATATTTCCATTAGCAATGTCAGCCTGAGGGTGGGCAGACTTCTGGTTTGCTGGATTTACTTTTTTCCCCCTTGGCAAAGCCACAAGAACCATTCACAGAATGGCAGCCTGTGGGAGGAGTTACTGGATGGGGCTTTCTGGACATGTGGCTGAAGACAGAGCCAGAATTAGATGTTTGTACATGAGGTTCTAAGCAGCTAATCAATCTTACGCATGTTTCAAGCAGGCACTGTCACAATTGCTGTTGGTAATTACCACTACCATGTGGAAAGTTTCCCAAAGCAGGAAGTTTTTCTGTTTCATAAGTTTATTACTTAAAAAAAAAAAAAAATCTAAATTCTGGAAACCCTTTCCTGAGTAGAATCTCAGTAGAAGTGAGTTTTATGTATATAATCTTGCTGCTGCAAGTCTGAATCATATTTTTGTTGAATTGTGGAAGTGTACGTTACAACAATATGTAGATTATGAGTTCTGCATGATGGAGCATTCAAAAGCAAAACAAACAACCATCAGCCCATCCAGTTTATAATAATTAATGGATTTATGAATTTTTAAAATTAAAATTATGGTTTGTCAAAGAACAGCAGATTTTAAAGTGGAAACTATGTCTGAAGCTGGTGTTTTTTTATATTTTTCCCATTTTCAAATCGATTAAAATCTGCTTAATTTTTAAAATGTTTAACATTTATTAACTGGATATGTTAATGGCAGTCAGAACCAGATATACCTGTTACGTTTTGTCTAAGGACAGAACGTTTTGTCAGCTCTGGCATGGCACGGGGGGCATGATGGTAAGAGGGGTGGAATTCTAATGGCACACAATG